CCCCAAAACCCCAAAACCCCAAAACCCCAGAATACACATTCTATTGTAAAACTTGCAACACGCTTATTAAAATATCTAAAGATATTAATGTTGAGTTGATTTATTTTTATCTTTTGATAATCTGGATATTACAATCACATTAATAAAATGTCTAAAGTAGGGAAGTTCATTAGAAACTGTGACTTATTTGCCTAGCCTGTGTATATGACTTATAAAAAAGATAGTAATTACAGGACCATTGTAGGCGGATTAAGTGCTATTACCTTCGGTTTCTTTGTTATTTGGTATGCAATCACCTAGATATGGCTAATGGTTTCGGGGAATTATAACATCAGCGTTTCTCAGATATTTTCAGACATTGAAAACGATCCAATTTCTTTTGATATAGACATAAAGAGGTTCAACATTGCCATCCTAATTGGTAGTTTTAGCATCAATAAGGAAGAATTGTTAAGATATGTAAGACCTTAATTCTTCTACGAAGTTAAAACTATTAATGCAAGTGGAGATATTAACATTACAACTTATCCAATTGATGTGGTCAGTTGCAATCAAACAATATTTCCATGGACTAACAAAGGAGAGTTGATTCAAGATTTTTTCTGTCCTAACTTAAATTAGATTGAAATATATGGCCAAGAATCAGGTCTAAAATCAAAGGAACTTTATATCTCTGTATCTCCGTGCTAAAAAGTAGCTTTGGATAATAAAACAGAGTGCGCTACTCAATAAGAATATAATGCTAGGATTGCAGATTTCTATATAGACACAGCCTTTTTAACTGAGTACTTTAATCCAAGTAAATTCAAAGAATCAGAACCTTTTTTTACAAATTACTAATAAAATAGGAGATATTTAGTTAAGGATCAATATAAGCTAGTGTAATATAGAGTATAAAGAAAAGTCGTTTCTATCAATGACCATCTAATCAGTTTTTTTTGGGTGCCTAGTTTTGATTCAAATTAATATGACTATGAATATTATGATATTGATCTGTTTGATACACAAATAATTGACCCAAATGTATCTAGATTTGAGAAATTAGGTCTCCTAAATTTAAGATTCTCATAAGATTAAGAAAGTTAATTGACAAGTATTTAAGGATCTACGATAACTGGCTTCATTTCAAATGTAGGAGGTTTCTTTAGTTTAATAAATATGCTACTTGGTTATTTGCTATATCAGTTTCAGTCTTTTAGATACGAATCATCTCTTATGAAAAGACTTTTCTATGAGGATAAACCAGAGTTGAATAATGATGATTAATAGAATGAAACTGAAGAGCCTGCTGCTTCACTATCATTTATAACAACAAATAATGAAGGAGGAGCAATAAGTTAAAGGACCTAAGCAAAAGAAATCCATGCCAACAGTGTGTGGAGCGAATAAGAGGAAGAATATAAATATGCAATAAATATTAGTGAACCAGATGCATCGGCCTCATTATAAAGAAACAAATCAAATTTTAACTCAGCGATCAATAGACTATTAAAAGTTCCAAAAGTTGGATATAAAGCATTCTAATAATCTTATCTAATGAATAAGGAAAGAATTATGGCATAGATTGAATCAACCTAGTAATATTAGATTACTATCTGCAATTGGATTTAATTCTACTTCGTGAGTTTGATGTGTTGCTGTAAGAAAAGAAAGTAAAGAATATAGGCACTGAAAGATAGATTTGAAAGAGCTAAAGAAAAGTTATACTATGATTTAGATATTCTTGAGAACATTAAGATAATTAGGAGTTCCAGATTCTAAATGCAGTCTTTGCTTAGAAAGTACCAAAGATAAATGATTAGATATTTCAAAATATATAATGTGGATCATAAGAGTATAGGTAAGAAACGCCCTCATAATCTCGCTAAAGCTTTTGGAAAGATAGATTTAAGAAGTAATGCTATAGACAAAAAAATAGCATACAAAATAACTGAAGATGAAGAATAGATTCATCATATTCAACTAACTAATCCTAGGTATAGACATTCTACTTATGCCTAACTTCTTTGATGAATAGAGTATAAAAGATAAGATTAACCTAATATTTTAACATATATAATTTATTTACTCCTTTTGTTGGTATTTATGCCTTACGGGGTTTTGGGGTTTTGGGGTTTTGGGG